ACATTTAGTAATTATTTTCCCATTTTATGAGTTGATTAGAATTTTAATTTTAGAGCTGTGGTTTGTCAACTGCAATGAGAAAACCATAAAGGTAATTTATGCGGTGACCACTGACCTTCGTAACTATCAAAACAAGTAAGCACAGTCAGGGAATAACCTAAAAACATATACTAGACTTTGAGACCAAATTCAGTTTCAGATATTCATTCAAGGAGTTGAACATACAGACACAACTCAGAACACTCTAAGGGACTCTTGTTAGTAACCTTATCCATGTACATAAATGTGAAAACACATAATATTGTTAAACAGTAGTAGCTATTACAAAATTAGAATAGATAAAATTTCAGCACTTTACCTATAGATCTAATTGTAGAAATTCATGAAAAAATCAAACGGAGTAAAAATAATAGAGCATATCCCTGTGACTGCCTACTTCAGAGTGGCGGGCATTTTTAACCAGGAATCAAACTCACAATGGTGGTTAGTCAATCTTATGTGATAAATGATGAGTAGAGGTTTCCTTCACATAAATCATATGAGATATGTTATTCAAAATGACATAAGTCTGGTAAACTATTTTCAATATTAAACTAGGGCATAAATTGGAACATTTTTTGTTTACACATAGAAATACGCAATACTCTGAAATGTATTAAATGAACTTTTGGCTAGTCCGGGTGGAAATAAAAAACATGTGAAAAACATTTCGGTACACCTAAAGCCATAATTATATATAGACATTCTAAAAGACAGATTATGACAGAATAGGTTATCAAAATTTGCTCAGGTATCCTTTGTGAACGAATTATTTAGTAAAAGATTATAACGGTTCAAATTATTAGAATGAAATACTATTAGATGAAAAATGAAAGTTTGGAATTAATTTTGACCAAAGAGGTAAGCAAAAAATGTTATGGGGGGAATACCAATCAAATCATCGGTTTCACATAACTCATTGAAGGATTTATTGTTATATTATTCGTACAAGATCTTACATAGATTGTTGAGAAAATCTGTAGTCCGATAGTGACTGTCCAAACTATTTTCAAGAACTTAGTCTTGTCACACAATGTCTCGTGCGGGTTTAACTGGAATGAAATTTGTCAATAGACTATTACTCAACTTAGTCATCTATTCCATAAATTATTTACAAGCCACGTCATTTAGCAGCCTTTCACATAAAAAGGAAACATAAAGTTTCTCATGATAGTATATGCCAAATGAATCCCAGAAGCTGAAACAAATATTTTAACGTAACTCTACTTAGTAAATAATGGTTAGCATAGACTCTAGATACTTACTACCTACTTCAAGTATTGAAAAGCTTAAACAGTACTGCGAATTTACATAATGTGAACGATTATCTAAGAGGACACCTTCTAACAGTTCAAAAACTAAGGTCGAATCAATCACTTTTGAAGTTGACTTTCTAGCACTATGTAGTGAACTACTAAGGTCCTCAATCATAAAACGTAGCATCTCAATCCTATTTTGATACATTCAAAGGAATACAAGATCTTCACAATACTAAAGATAAAGAGTATTAAATTCCGTTCATTACAATCGAAGAGCTACATGGAAAGAACTAAGTGCAAAAAGCGATAATAATTTCAAACTCGGACACAACTGTATAATGTCATCAAAGGTGATCGAAACTACATATGTAGGCCTAATGTTAATTGAATAAAGAGAGATTGAGTTTGTTTTACTTGTGCACAGCAGAATAGCTCGACTAAACGTAGCAGCGATATGTGAGAAATAGATCTAGGGTTTAAGTTATGGCATTAGTACGTGAAGTCAGTGAGCAATAGTCCTGCTTGAGTAAGGATTTCCAAGAAAATATAAACTACGACACCTCGATGAGGTAGGGAAGATTTGACATTGTGAATGCACCAGGAGCGTTGGAAAAACCTTCACTATCTGTTCTACCATGAAGATCATATGTAGGCTGGCTGTACTCATTGTCGGTTTGTGAACGTCTGAAATCTCTGGAATAAACTTCACAACGCTGGCCGACATTTGAATTTTCTGATGAATTAGGGCGAAATTTTCCGTTCAGTTTCGCATGCAGCAGCTGTTCGCCAACTTCTTTTCCTTGAAAAAATTTATCGTACCGTTGACGAATGGGTAAAGCACCGTTGACGAATGGGTAAAGGTTGTAAGGAAGAAAAGTATTGATATAAAAGGGAAACCTGCCCCCGTAAAAGTGGTTGAAAAATCGAAAGCTGATCATAGCGACAGATCAGCTATTTTTCATAGAATTAAGGAGAGCGATAGCTCTGAACCTAAAGCTCGTTTTGAGCATGACATTGTACTGATTAGGCAGCTGCTTAATCAACTCATGCCTCAAAATATGACTGGAATCACCTTGCTAAAGGTGTATAGACTAGGGAGTCTAACTGACTCGAAACCAAATCATTCCAGACTGCTTAAAGTAGTATTCGGCTCTTCAAACGAACGTGACCTAATTTTACAAAATGGACACAAATTAAAGGGTTCAGGAGTCTTTATCTGAAAGGACCTACCGTTGGCAGACCGTGTTAAAAGACGGGAAGCCGAGAAAGAACTACAACATAGGTTAGACGCTGGCGAAAAGGACCTGAAAATTGTAAATTTTCGGGTTGTAAGACTTCGACAGAGAATGATGCCGAAGCCACTCTGGGTGAAGCACGAAGGCACTTAAACAGGCTTCGGATCTGTTACACCAATGCACGAAGCTTACTTAATAAGCGATCGGAACTAGGTGTACAGATTGACTCTACAAAGCCAGATATAATCGCAGTAACAGAAACCTGGCTGACACAGGCTACAGATAGTATAGAACTTGATTTCCAGGGCTTTACGTTAGTAAGGGCCGACAGAACACAAAAGCGCAAAGGAGGGGGAGTAGCCCTATTCATTAGGAATGCTATCCCATTTACCATTATCGATAGTGTATCCCATGAGAGTGGGACGTGTGAATTAGTTAGTCTTCGCTTAAAATGCAAGGGACAAGAGCTGCTGATTGGTTTGGTCTATCGCAGTCCAAGCTGTGAGGCAAATGAGATCCTGTTAAGCAGTCTCAATACTTGGTCCCAAAGTGGTCGATGTCTAATCCTAGGGGACTTTAATGCACCTATGGTAGACTGGGAAAATCTGCGAACTAAATCGTCGGAGAATTCTTTCGAGCAGGAACTAGTTGATGCGGTTATCACATGTGCCCTAGTGCAACATGTGAAAGAAGCGACTAGGTACGACCCGGACACTGAATCATCCTTATTAGATCTTATACTGACTCACTATGAGGATGATGTTGCGAACCTCCACCATATGCCACCCTTAGGTAAAAGTGACCACGCAGTCTTAACTTTCGACTTCCATATAACTGCCAGTCATGAGGACGCGTCAGTCCAGTCCAGACCCAACGTCTGGAAAGCAAACATACCAGACATCATGCACTCAGCATCGTTAATAGATTGGACAATAGACCCAGAGTCCTCCATTGAAACGGCCTGGGACGCATTTCGAAAATCATACTTAAAAGTTACCACACCTCACATCCCTTGGACTATACCAAAGGGGCCGAAAAACTCACCACCATGGTTCAGTAGGGAGGTCCGTATCCTTCGCCGTAAGAAAAGGAAAATGTGGGATAGATTTAGGTTACTGGGGACTGATGAGTCAAAATCTCAGTATCGAAAGGCTCGGAACACTTGTGCCTCGACCCTCCGTGAGTCTAGAAAATTGTACGAAGAAAAACTTGTTAAGGAATCCATAGAATGTCCTAAACGCTTGTATTCCTATATAAACCAAAGGACAAGGAGAAAAGGAAATATTCCTGCTCTATGGGGAGACAGTACTGCTTCATCATTAGTGGAGGACGACTTTGGTAAGGCTCAAGCGTTCTCGAACTACTTTAGCAACGTGTATACCATAGAAGCGCCCTTCTCGTCAGCGTATACAGATCCCCCCATACATACACTGGATAGCGTGACCATTAAAGAACTCGATGTCTTTGGTCTGTTAAATAAGCTTGACATAGGTAAATCCACGGGGCCCGATGAATTACATCCTAGGCTACTGAAGGAGTTACCTAACTTCGTTGCGAACCCTTTAAGTACATGCTTTAACCTGTCCGTTACGCAGGGTCGCTTACCGAAAGATTGGAAAAACGCCATAGTAAGTCCTGTCTTCAAAACAGGTACAAAACACAAACCTGAGAACTACCGCCCCGTTAGCCTAACTAGTGTGGTTGTTAAAATATTAGAAAAGATTATTCGGAAGGAGCTGTTTAAGTATCTCGATAAAAACCGGATCCTCTCGGAGAAGCAGCATGGCTTCAGAATAGGTTATTCTTGTCTCACTAACTTATTAGTGGCTCGTGAAAGCTGGTGTGCTCTTAAGGACCAAAAGCTACCTGTAGACGTCGCCTTCATTGATTTCAGTAAAGCCTTTGATAAAGTTCCGCACAACCGGCTGTTATATAAGTTAAGACATGTCGGGATTGGAGGTAATTTATTGATGTGGATAAAAGACTTCTTAGTTGGGCGTCAACAAAGAGTAAGGGTGAACTCAAAGTTATCTAGCTGGAAAACTGTGCTTAGTGGAGTGCCACAGGGTACAGTTTTGGGGCCAGTGCTATTCCTCTTGTATGTAAATGACCTTCCTCCTCTCCTATCATCATCGGTCTTGCTATATGCTGACGATGTCAAGATATGGAGAACGATACGATGTAAGAGTGATAGCTTAGAACTTCAAAATGACCTGAAGAAGTTATCTGAATGGTCTCAAACATGGCAGTTGCCGATAAATACTTCCAAGTGTGTTGTGATGCATATCGGTCATCAAGGCACAGATACATACACGATGAATAACACTGAGCTACCTGTCGTCCAGACATATAATGACTTAGGAGTTATCGTTAGTCAAGACTTAAAGACTACTGCACACTGCCGTGCAATAGCCGCCAAAAGTTTTAGAACGTTATGGTCAATACGTAGGGCTTTTAGTCATGTCGACGCTAAGACGTTTTTGACTTTGTATACAGTGTTCGTTCGCCCTAAACTTGAGTACTGCATACAAGCGGCTAGCCCCTGCTTTAAAAAAGACAGTGAGCTTCTGGAAAAGGTTCAGAGAACAGCAACTAAGCTGGTTCCCGGAACAGCGAAGCTTCCGTATGAATCTCGACTGGCCAAGCTGAACCTTTTCCCGTTGTCATATCGCAGAACTAGAGGCGACTTGATTACAGTCTACAAATTGCTTAGTGATAAATTTGCACCTAACATGCCCTCATTTTTCTTGTCTTCCAAAACAGAGAATTTACGAGGACACTCCAACAAAGTTCATAAGCCGAGAACAAATTACTTGTCAGCTGACTATCGACTTTCCCATCGAATCATCAACGAGTGGAATTCACTACCTCAGCACGTGGTTGAGGCTCCATCCGTCGACTCTTTCAAAAGAAAGTTGGATCAACTAAGAGACCACCATTGTCAGGACTAACATAGGCCATCGAGCCTCCTGTCCTTCCCAAACTGAAACTGAAACTGTATGTTTACTGACAGTCACAAGCATTGTTGAATTTCAACATGTGCACGCCTGTAGATTGAGAAAGCACAGAACGACTTTGTATGAATTTGACTGACCTGGCCAAAGGAAATATCGTGTGCGCTTCTGTTTAGTTTGCCAAGCTTGGTAGACTGTATATAGCCAATGAAGTGACTTGACCAGACGAGTATACTTGTGTAAATAACGTACCTTCCAACATACAACAAATCATAAGTGCAGAACCATGATTATTAAACACTGACGACGTAAAAGACACACTAAGAAAGTTTCAGAACATTTCTTTAATTGTGTTGTCAAGTGCGCACCTCCATGAATATGTATATATGCATATACATATGTATTGAATGAACAGTAATTAAAAACGTTCTTTGATCACACGGATAAAATCACTATAATCTTTAATTCCTTGGAAAAAGTCGTACATTTACAAGATGCAGAACAAAATTAAGCAATTAAAGATAACCATAGCAGGGTTTCACGGGATATAAGAACTCGATCTTCAAAATGTGTCATTTGACATCATAACCATATAACTCAAACGTGAGAGAAAACAGATTTTAGTTGAAAATCGAAAACGGATGCGTTCAAGGGACTTACAAAGCAGCACTGCAACGATGAAAATCGTGTGATGAGCCATTTGAACGCCTATGTTCATTTCGCCAAATACGAAAGCCTGCACAAACCAGTACATGTCTTCTGGTGTAGCTAAACAAATTAATAACAGGCGATTCCGATAACCATAAATGATAAAACGAATGGTTTATACTTTATTTGTTACAGTCCTATGACAAAAAAGCAAGGCTATTATTCCTTTCCTAATGTTGATAGACAAAAAATTGATTAACTGTATGAGAAGTGATTTAAAAGGCAATTATGTTGTCTCTCTTACTACCGAAGAAGGTAAAGCGAAAATTGAGCCTTCACTTAAGAGGCAAAAAAGAAGTACCATTATGATTGCTCATTGCAATCGTGTAGTGGTAAATAAGTTCCCTAAATAAATAGTTCTGTAAATCTTCACTAATGCTGACCTAATTACTTTTAATTGACTCACCTAGCTGAAGACGTTCGGTCACGTATCCACATCAGATCACGAATGAGTACGCCGTGATTCACTTTTCCTACAACCGCTAGTCATCTTAGATTATTCACTTCTTGGTATGTCTATATTCTATCAAATATATCTCCGAGTCTCTTCGCTTCTGATTTCACTGGGTTGTCCCGTTTCGATTATAAAAGGTGTTATTGCTTAAGGTGTCGTCAAAGTCCGGAGACTCATGGGCTCCTTAGTGGTGAGGCAGACGTGATCTGGTACACCAAACAATAAACTGTGAGCCTATTCCTTTTTGGAAATTCATATACTACATATTGTGATTTTTTCATATTTTTGGATACTTTTTCTCGTTCACTGCTATACTTTATATTCATGATGACCGAACAGACTCTTAAATTATTTAAGATCAAGACGCTTTCGTCTTCCGCATTTCAGTTAATGCCATTCTGACCCGATAATATAGAAGCCTGGTACTGATACGCAAATACTGACTTCCACGTGCACAGTGACAGACACACGTGCACAGATCCTCGCAGTGATGAAGGCACTATCGAGCGAATCCATCTGGTACGCTATACCTAGTATGTTCACTAGCGACGTTTCGGAACCTTACGCCGTTTTGAGGAAGGCTATTCTTAAGCGCGGAGACCTAACCGACCGAAAATGGTTAGGGAAGGAATTCGACAAGGAGAGGGTCTGCCTCCAGACCACGAGTAGCAGATATGTTGACGAACGTTCGCCATATGGTCGACACGTGCAGAAATAAGTGTTGTTTCTACAAATCGTAACGACCGACTGTACGAACCAGTTTTCAACTTGCAAGTGGTAAATGAGAAACCGATAGCCACATACGGTAAGAGATATGTGTACTCTAACACGGGTTTACGCAAACTCATGCACTGGATCTTCGTTGCTACAGATGTTTCTATACCAATCAATGATATAGACTCACCAAAACATCATAATCTAGTCAACATGTACAAGCGGAGGTTAGTAGACGGAAATACTAAACTATCTGTTTATGTAACTTGTTTCTCCGGTTGTAGATTATCTCTAGTCACATTAAGGCACACGATTGATTTGTACTATCAACGGACACTCGGCAAGTTATCGAACTGTGCGAAACGCGAACAAAATTACCGTGTATACGTAGTAATGTCACACATCACACCGCGACTACATGATCACCTGAATCTTCGAGAGCTCGTCCACTAGCTCCCGTAAACCTAAGGTTGATCAGCATCGAATTCCAGAACGTGATAAACTTGGTAAATATTCCGCCGCCAAACAGTTCATGAGCGTCTATCAGCAACGATTGGTGTCAAACTGGTGATTATCGATGACTGGATACGTAAACCACTCCTAATCGTTGACCGTCACCTTACATTCATGTTTTGACAGCCACCTTAAAAGGCACGACTGTTTTTGAGAAAATCGACTTGGTTAAAGCATATGACCGAATTCCAATGTCTGCTGACGACATTCCTGAGACGCCTATCGGCACCCCCTACGGATCCAACGAATCTTTTTCATGCCTTTCGAGTTGAGAAATGTTTCATGATTTCACAAATTTATCGATTATGTCTCATCTCCAGAATCTGAGCCTTGCATTTAAACGACTCTAAAAGCACGAAATTACTGTAAACATTCAGAAATATCAGATCAGAGCTACCTACCTATACTTTCTCCGACACACCATTGATGCCCAAGGCATCCACCGTTTGACATATATGAAGAAATGATAAAAAAAGAAAATAATGACAATTGAATAGTAATAGTATATCAGGTTCTGTGTAACTGAGGAGAATTTTGAATTGACTTTAAAGAAGGAAAGGGAGAATAAAAAGGAAAAGAAATAAAGGAGACATGAAATCCGTAGATTGTTTAATATGCGTGTTTATGATCACAGAACTAGAACTAACGACTATGCATGTATCGCCGAATTAGTAACAAAAATAAAATTTAAAAAAATAATTAAGAAAAATAACTTGTTATTGCAGTAAGATATAATGTTAGAATAAGTGTTTGTGCAGCCAAAGTTTGGAGTGATGCCATGAAAGTCTCAACTATGTGCAAAAAACCAAATATCGAAATCTATGACGCTTTTGTGTAAATCATTATTAAACACGCTGATATTCAATAGATGACACAATCCACTTTCAGAAAGAAAATCATCGAAGGGACTTCTGAATGGGGTTTTAGTTTCACTACAACGGAGGTTCACTGGAAGTCCGTTCCACATGGTTGAGTAGCGAATAACGAAAAAATGTCTGGCGTACGTTTGTGTAGGTTCTTGGAATAGCTAGAATATTTTTCTTATTGCGTGGATTGTGGGATGATATCGTGGAGTATGGAAGGGTGGATACCGAAGAGTAGAAAATACAGTTAATAAGCTGGTAGATAAAGACAAGGTTTAATTTGATACATCTGGTCTAGAGAGGTTCTAATTTGAGTTGTTGACACCTTTGGTGATAGTTTATGTTGTCGGAATAACCCGTGACAGCATTGGTGAACCTTCAGGTCATTATGCCTGCAATTACTGTAAACTAAAATACAATATTCAAGAATGGGTAAGACACATTTTCTGCATAATAATAATCTTGATTCGATATTATTGAAGTTTATCATTATGAATCCGATGAGCTTTCTAGCTTTGGATACTTGAGATGCTCAGAAGAGTTCAGAATGTCGCTCTATCTTAAACTCAAGTCACAAACAGTATTGAGAGGTTTCAGTGTATGTGTGTGTATAGCTGGATTTAGGTTAGTGCATCGGCTAATGCGAATAAATCCACTTTTATCAACATTAAGTGGCGAATTCCAGGAAACGGTCCATTCGTGCAACTTGTTTATTTCTTCTTGGATTACCGCTGAAATGTAGCTTTTTCGGTAGGAAAAGAAAATGAACAAACCACCTTTAGGTCATCGGTAGAATGGAAGGGTTCGCCAAATTGAAAGAGGAAACACACCTCACTGATAAAAAGGAGAAAGACTAATGGACCAACCACACTTCCTTGGATAACCCCACTGGTTGCATTCACAAGCGGACGATTTGGCTACGTTCTTCCAAAAAATATTTCGGTCAAGATAAAAGGGGATTCTATATTCCAAATGAAGACAGTTCAGGAGAGGACGCTTGCATGAGACACTATCGAAAGCCCTACTAAAATTGATGTACAGAGTTATCAATGACCGATCAACATCTCGTCTCTGGGTAATTTGATCTAAAAATCCGGTTGCAACGTGGAGCATAAGCTTTCACCTTTACTTTTTATTGCTCTTCACATCTTGACATCGTCAGCATATAGCAAAACCGGTGATGATAGGATACTGGGAAGGTCATTTACATACGAGAGGAATAATATTCGTCCCAAAACTGTACCCTGAGACACTCCGTTAAGCACATTTCTCAGCAAGACAACTCCAATTTCAGCCGTACTCTTTTTTGATGGCTAACTAGGAAGCATTTTATCCACATTAATAGGTTGCCCCCAACCCCAACATTTCTTAACTTGTATAACAGCAGGTTGTGAGGAACTTTGTCAAAAGCTTTGCTGAAGTTAATGTAGGCTTTGTCTATAGGTAACTTTTGGTCTTTAAGACCGCACCAACTTTCACGAGCCGCTAATAAGTTAGTGAGACAGAAATAACTTGTTCTATAACCATTCTGCTTTTCTGAAAAATTCGGTTTTCATCAAGATACGTAAACAGCTCCTCCCGAATAGTCTTTTCCGAAATTTAACAACCACGTTGTTTAGACTATCAAATGGTTCAACTGGTTCAAATGGTTCAAATGGTTGTGGACGGAATAGAAGAAGCTTTCGCTTAACAGGCTTCCGTGTCTAGTAGCAGGGGATCACCAAATCCTCCAGGCAGGAACCTAGGTATGTTAACAATAAAAGAGGAAAAGAAATTGGTAAATCATAGTGTGATGCTGTCCTTGGTCCTTAAGAATAGGTCAAGTTGCCTCTTGAAGGACTCCTGAGAAGTCGCTTGAACTAGCTCGGCCGGCAGCGAGTTCCAGCTTTTGACAACTCTTAAGGAGTAGAAGTTGTGTCTACATTCCGTCTCGCTATGTTGTGTTTCCAGTTTCTGGGTGTTACCCCTTAGGTTATTGTCCGAACTAAGCTTAAGTAGGTGTTTAAGAGGATGTCCAGAAGTGTCTACAGCTCTCATATTTATGTTTCGTACCTGTTTTTAACTCATGATCTTAGCTCGGAGTGCCGAGAAGCGGAACAGGACCTAGTACATTGTTCTTCTAGTGTTTTTTTAGTAATCGACCCCGGGTTACGGATAGATTGATACATATGCTCAAGGGGTTTGAGACGAAATTATCTAGTTCCTTTAGTTGTCTATGATGCATCCCATCGGGTCCCGTGGACTTGTCTATATCAAGCTTGTTCAACAGATCAGAGACATTGAGTTCTTTGATGGTCACAGTTTCCAGTGTGTGTATGAGGGAGCTATTTATTTTGTGGATTTATTTACCACTACAAACTGAAGGAAAGGGTGTCTCTACGGCTTATAAACTGCTAAATTAGTTTGAGGATATCTTGGCCTTACCACAGCCGTTCTTCACTTATTATGAAGTGCTACTGTCTACGCATAATG